GTTTAGAAGTAAACACTTTTTTTATAAAAGCCGGGACTCCGAAAACGTCAAAAATCATTGTAACTGATCAAACTTAAGTGGTAACTAGACCATACAGAGATATATTCTCATATGCATAAAAGTCAACATAGCCTCTTGCTGGAGAGCATTTTCATGATAAATTAATGAGTAGCATTACCGACAGAGACAAAAGAGACTGGAATGGCCACTTCTGGATTATAAGCCGAACGAGAGCTCCAATATATAACGGGACGAGTGAGTGTAACCCTGCCACCAAGTTATTGAGTATTTGCAAAGCTCAAAGAAATATCGCAACGTTTAGACAGAGAATTCCCTGTAGGCATTATTACTGCGTTTTACACGGATTTACTAATCTAAATTTTAAAATGGGCAAATATCTGATTTTCTGAAAATACCCTTCTCGCCTACGCCCTGTTTCCTCTGATTTACGCGGAACAAAAGTTTAACTTTCAAGCACGGAAAGTTCCGTTTGATAAACGTTAAAAGTTAAGATAACTCTCCTCTGGTAGAAAATCATTCAAACCTAGTCTAGGGCATCCATTAGCATAGAAAACTGCCTTGATACAAGTTGGCGTAGATTTACGTCTAGATTTGTAAGCATTTTGACCGATATCTTGTGCGTAAACATATTCTGTATGCGAAATGGCCTACGCCTCCGATCAATATATATATATATATATATATATATATATTTCGAAAGAAATAAGCTCCTTGGGAAAGATAAACAAGTTTTATTGTAAATTTTCGATCTTGGTTCCCCAAGTCGTCTTCAGACGTGAAGTGAGTGTGCAAAACATTTAACATTTAAACGATTGCCTGTGTTTCCAACATCGAAAGACAGAAAAAGAGGAGTGTCTTAGACAAAAAGTGGATGGCCATCTCTCAACGAATTCCTGCAGACCAAACTTACTCGACAAAGGTAGTGAACCTGTCAGAAAGAAGACTTACAACGGCCGAAGAAAGTGTGCTTTCTAAGGGAATGAAATATAATCTCTCCGATGCGAAATACCTAGACTTCCTTGCAAACTTGGAGTCTATAATATCAGCAGAAAACATTACGGACGATGAACGTTTCACAATCCGGAATAGCACTGTACATGCCTTGAAGAACCGAAATTCCTTTTCAGTTCTATCGCACGAAGAAAGGAAGGCATTAAAAACATTAAAAAGTGACGAAAGCATTATCATACTTCCTGCGGACAAAGGAGGATCAACTGCGATTTTAAACAAAGCAGGCTACAACGAAAAGATGTTGTCATTATTAAAGGATAGATCAACCTACAAACTTTTTACCACGTACCCTACTAAAACGCAGAGTACGGCCATTGAAAAAGTTCTAAAACGTCTCACAGGAAAGAAGCAAATATCAGGAGATATTGCCAAATCCTTACGACAAACTGAACCAGCCATTGCAAAGATCTGTGGGCTACCTAAGATTCACAAACCTGAAATATCACTGCGACCGATAGTATCGTTAATCGGTGCACCTAATTACAAGATTTCTAAATGGCTATTCCACAAACTCTATCCGCTGACAAAGGATTGTGAAACATCAATCAATAATTCAGCCCAGTTTCTAGACAAAGTACCAGGACTGAGAATCGCAGCAGATGAAATAATGGTATCCTTCGATGTCGTTTCTCTGTTCACCTCCATACCATTGGATTTAGCAAGACAATGTACAGAGGAACGTCTCCAGTACTACGACATGGATATCCCTGCATCTGCTTTGTTAGAACTCTTAGATCTTTGTCTAGAAACGAACTTTTCATTTGCACAGGAATACTATCAACAGCTGAAGGGAGCCCCTATGGGATCACCCATCTCCGGTTTTCTCGCAGAAATCACGATGCAGAAATTAGAGGCTATCGCCTTACCACAGGTTAACCCCAAACTATGGGTACTATATGTTGATGACACGTTTGTCATTGTTAAAAGTGATCAACTGGAAATACTTCACAATATTATAAACTCAACACTTCCTGGAATCACATTCACACTCGAGAAGGAGGCTGACAACAAACTCCCGTTTCTTGATGTCCTCGTACAGAGAAAGCCTGAGGGGACATTTCATACTTCGGTTTACCGCAAAGAAACCTACGCGGAAGTCCTTTTGCATTACGAGAGCAATCACCCGATCTCTCACAAACGGAGTGCCGTGAACAGCCTCCTTAACCGAGCAAGAACCCACTGTTCTGACAACGAAACATATCAAACAGAACTGAATTATTTGTTCAAACTGTTTTCACAGAATGGGTATCCTAGATATTTTGTACACCGATGCATGCGACGACAGGAGTTAAAAGAAAAAGAGAAGGAACCAGATTGTTCCGATCAGGCGCCCAAACCTAAAAACTGGCGAACACTTCCATACATTAAGAATGTGTCCGAACTAGTTGAAAAACACCTGAGTAAACACCAGATACATGTGGCGCACAAACCGACGACTACACTTCGTAACCAGCTTGTACACCCTAAGGATAGGGTTGGCTATTTAGAAAAGAAGGAAGTCGTCTACAAGATACCATGCAACACCTGTAATGCAGTTTACTGTAGTCAAACTGGGAAATCAGCCTCTAATCGATTACAAGAACATCAGTTGGCCGTAAAAAGGCGCGACCACTTGTCCCGAGTTGCCATGCAAACGTTGGAAACGGGGCACAAATTCGCCTGAGACAGGACTCGCATTGTAGGTGTCTGCTCATCCAAAAAGGGCCGTGAATTTTTAGAGGCCATCCATTCTGATAGCGCATGCATCAATCGACACGTAGAATTGGATACGGTGTACAACAGCCTCAAGGAAAAGTGGAAAAGGCGTTAGCCAATCAGAACATTACACTAGCAGGAGTGACAAGGCAAAATCGATTTTTCGGTGTGTTTAAATGTTAACTGTTTTGCACACTTACTTCACGTTTGAAGACGACTTGGGGAACCAAGATCGAAAATTGACAATAAAACTTGTTTATCTTTCCCAAAGAGCTTATTTCTTTCGAATTATGATTCTTGGGATGCCTGTTTTCAAATATATATATATGTACGTTACCTAAGCTATACGCAGACAGCTGTTTCACGGTTGTTACCAGTCATCAGTGCATCATAGGCCTTATGTACATATATGTGCACGCATATGCGGTGTATTGACTTCTGATAAATTAGTCCCAGGCGTATTGGCCTCCTCTGCCAGACCACTTGAAGAGTCGCTTAGCTTTTCGTTGTTTTAAAGGGTCCTAGCTATATATTTGCCCACAGAAAATGCCTAAGTGCACATTGAATTTAACCCACTTATTCTCTTGTTGTTCAATAATCCGACATCTGTCAGCGTTTGCAGTCATTTTACAAATTGGAATAATTTTAATTATATGTCGCTCTGTGCAACCCCATTTTATCTGTCTTTACTTAGTTCCCACCAGCGTCAGAAACGTGGTGGCCTCCGTCCTCTCGGAGGAATCGTTTTCTGTGAAGTGGGATCCTCCGGCAAACTACAACGGTCCTGCCGGTCCAACAAAATTACACATTTGGACGCCAAACGGAATGGAAAAGGAGGAAAATGTAACGCATTCTTCCTCCTCCTCCTCCTCCAAAACCTTCGAGGGACTTAAGTCCAGTGTGCCGTACTACGTGTCACTGATGGCAAGCACAGCGGAAGAAGAAGGCACGTGCAGAGGCCAAGATGGCGAATCACTTCTTGCTGGACTGGTCTATCTGGAATCGAAAGGTAGGCAGAAGGGGACATCATTTTAACCACATCGCCTCTTGGATGCTCATCTGCCACCGCCTCCACGCCCGCCTCTAGCCATCTCGATAATGTTTTGGCACTCAGACATGTGAGAAGAATGGGTGAAGTAGGTGCAATGCAAGTCACTGTCCTATTTGGTTGTGGCAGATCAACTGATACATTCGCCATTGAAAGGAAAACAGGCATGTACAGTAAAATTTATTGGGGCCAATAGACTTCGTGACGGCTAATCAACTGCAGCCCGTCTCTACATAACATAGGTAATGAATGAAAGCGCACAGCAGTAGGAATTTGCACAGAATGTCAGTGCGTAAGTGCAAGGTCAAGGTTCAAGGCAGTGAATAGTCAGAAGAAAGACGTTCCCATAAGTATCATATAGGAAAGAGGGAGACGGAATGTTACTAACAAATCACAGTCAGGAGTACCTTGAGGCGTGAAGGTTACCAGGGCGATTGCAGATTGATCATGTGGTCCAACTGCTTGCATAGGTCTGGTTTCTCCCTCCGTATGTAAGCTGCTTCCGGGTAACGCAAGGTTCGAGTTGTATGCGCTCGGACAAGTACTCGAAAAGCCGTCTTAGGGTCGACAACATGACCGCTATCTAACAGATGTTTCGTTATAGACGAACGGGGGGTTTTGTTTTCCTGTTTGAAGAGCCAATTAGGCAAATGCTCAGCGGCCCTGGTTCCCAATTGCCTTTGCGTTCGCCCAATGTACTTGCATCCGCAAGTGCATGTGCTTGTTCTTTCTAGGGTGCAACGCAAGCGTCGCTTGATTGTGTTTGAGACGTTGTCCCCCCCTTAAAAGGTAAACATCGGGCTTCTTCTGAACGGACTGCAAATGGCCGCAAATGGTTGCTGTACTTCTGAATGAAGCGTGCAGGATAGTCAAGCTTGCAAACCGCGCCATTACAAGACGCTCATCTGATGAAAAGGGCCTCCCGTATGATGAACTCGGTTGCTCAGCAACTGTGGTCACTTGTATCAATAGTGTGCTCTTGGGCAGTATTTGCCTCTTCCTACTTAATGCATCATTCAAAGTTCTCAAACTCTTTACTGTTGGAGGCTATGAGTTGTAATCAAACGTCCAGGGGCTACCTCTGATAGCCTTTGGGGGGTCGAAATCCGTCCCACTTGCCACACAGCGATTACTTGGACCCTGCAGTCGACAAGTGCCGCCTGGACTGTCGTAAGCGACGGCGTCCATCAGGTACTGCATGCAGTAGACGGAGCGACGGAGGTTTACGCAACATCTATCGCACCCTCGCCTCCATCACCCACTTGGCTCTGATGATGAGAGCAAGCAATGTGCCAGGTTTTCGTGAAATTGGGCGACTCGGATCCCACGAGCGTGTGAGTGTCGTGGAGGCCGCATAAAATAGGAGGGCCGTATCACAGTGGCCCCCAGTCCTAAGAGGGACCGAGTTATCCCCCCCCCCCGCCCCCAGCGAGTAATGATAATGTCGCTTTTGATAGAGAGCCGGCGTGTCACTTCGGGGTTGGTCATCGCAGAAGCATGGGGGACATTCCTCCTAGAGCGCAACAGCCCTGCTGTGGTGGGCGGGTCATTTCTTTTCCACGTTGTGTCGGCAAGACGGGGTCTTTATTGCCGCAGGGACTCTAGGCGAATGTTTGACCGACTTCGATCTGCACACGTCTACTCCTCCTCCTCCTCCTCTTCCTCCTCCTCCTCCTCCTCCTCCTCCTCCTCCCCCTCCTCCTCTACGAAGCGATTTGCTTGTAGAGGTCCGATACCCTCGCGGTTGAGCTGCCAAGTTCATAAGCGACAAGGGCGGCTGTACTCCTGTTTGGCCGATCGTCGATGCGGTATTCTAACATGCCACATGTAGCCCAAGCATCCTTGCTCAGTTTAATTAAGGTATGGGCATGCAGTCTCTTGATCGAATTCTCTTAACTTATTATCTATCTAGCGGATAGGCGGTGAGTCTTTAAATACTTTATCTTAACTGTTCCCATTTTATCCGAAACCTTTTGCGATCCGGGGCGAGGGGTAGAATGATTTTGATTTATCCGGGCCGCCTCTGTACTACAACATTATTGCCTCCAAATCCAGCGTCGCCTCGGTTACCCGCTATTTCAGTACTTGAAGAGAGGACGCCACTTTGTCAGTCGTCACTAATGCGTGTCCGTTGGAAATGTTAGCTGTGTACGAATCGAATTATAATATTAAAGAGCTTTGTGGCGTGATCTTCACGCTCCTCCAAGTTCCTGCTGCCGCAATCGCAAGAGAAGCGGTAACAGCAGTCGTTATTTGGACACTTTTCAGAATACCTATCCGCTTCCTAAGGGACTTGTTTTTGATGATAGAGCGAATTCCCACGTCAAATCCCTCCTCCTTTTACAGATGGCTACTTTGAAGCATGTGCATTTAACTTCATCTTAATTAAATGTACAGTTTTTAAGCCTGTACGTGATTCAGCGAACACGACCCTGATAGATACAGTACTTGACGTAACATATGAAAGGTATCGAAATTTACGAATAATTACTAATCACTTGCAAGCCCACACAAATGCATGGACCCAATATCTATATTGATAAAGAACAACCCTAAGGGAATTGAAAACATAAGAGAAATATTAAAGGTAATGTCACATTGTCTGGAAAAACCGATTTTTTCAGAAAGGCAGAAAATTTCAGAAATGTCAAAAATGGTCATAATTTAGCGAACTTCGGTTTGCGGTGTTCAGAAAGCATGTTCACGCAGAAAACGGAGAAAATATGACAGCGAAACATAAAATAATGTTTAAGAATAGTCTTTTAATAAGGTTTGCAACTAAATATCCTATAGGAATTAGTGTAGTGTCAGGTGTGGTGGCTGTCTAACGGCTTACATTCTGATCACAGATTGCAAAATGGTTTTCTGCGAATTCGTTGTGTTTTCTACGCTTTTGTATTGGTTAAGATGCGGTTTAAGAAGACAAACATGATTTTGCTTGATTTCCCGACAAGGACATCATAGAAATAAAAGTTTCATAAGATCACACTTTGCCAGGCCGGTCGAGTACGCAATCAAACTCTAAGACAGGTATTAGCAAGGGAAATTGCCCGAATATATCACAATGTCTACTTTCGTCCAGATCTATTTTCTTGCCTGATATAATTGCGTTGACACGTTTTCTGCACAAAATGATTTTTTATCGAAATAGGTTGACGATTGAGCAAACTACGGAATGTTAAAGGAGTCCGGCAATTCTCACATCGGACTTTACCATCAAGTTTTACGAGATAGGTCACGAACTGCACCTTCAACAGTCGAGGACTTCAGCACTGCACGGACAAATAGTTGATTCTTGCGTCATTTTAAAAAGTGTTTGTGTTCATTGCAAATGTTTTATGCGACTTATCTATCCAGGGAAAAAATTGTGAAACTTCGTAAAGCATCCGATTTTATGGAGAAACCTTCCAAAATAAACCGCTATATCCCGTAATGCGTTTCAAAACTAGGTGTGAAAGAGGTGGCGAACATTGTTTTAATCGAGTCGCTGAACTTGAGACACAGCAACTTGTGTTGTCGCCAAAGCGTGCTAAGACGTTTCGCAAATACTTGCTTGACAACGCCGTAATCCCATGGAGCACTGAATATTTCCAGTCGTCCACGGATGCATTCCGTTCAGGTTACCAGTTATCTTATTGGCTAGTATTTAGGACGCAGATGTCTGTAATTGACTATCCTACTCTCTCGTTCGTTGATTGCTTCAGATCATCCTATCCCGCCCCCGGATGTTAGGCTGACAGTTTTGGCTGCGACTGCCCTCAGAGCAGAGTGGACTCAGAAAGAATCTGTCGACCCCGAAATCCTTGCCTACACCTACAAACTCACAGTAAACTCATCCGGAAGTTTGGCTCAGATTGGCTACTTGCCAGCAACAGCTCGAAGTCTCGTTTTGAACAACCTAGCACCAGTCACTAAGTACAACCTGGAGATCTCCGCCAACGGCATCTATACGCACGGCATCGCTCATGAGTCAGCTACAACTGCTCCAGGCGGTAAGCTACCTCTTTTCTCAACCGCTGTCCTTTATGATGTTTATTTGAAAAAAATATGTAACCTCTCGAACCAGTCCTAGAGCGAAGGGTTGGATAATGCACCTAGAGAAGCAAGAGCAAGGGAATGCGCTTTATTTTGAAAGTTTCGTTCAAAATATTCAGCAAAAAAGGCCCCAGATCAGAAGGCATTAACAAATTACACAAGAGTCAAAAGATTTGCATTAAAGGATGAACATATATTACGGGGGGACAGTTTAGGTCTCAGTCTCTGTATTTCTGTTTCTTTAAACGTAAGTTGTCGTGCCAGAAATGACCATACGGAACGCTGGCATGCCGATGTCCGGCAAGAGATATGTCGACCACCTCCGTGTATGGGGCGGAAAGACCTTGCAGCAATTACATCCGAGTGGAGAGGATGGGCATCGTCTAGAATTCGATCAGCAAATTGCCTGACCGTTGTGATGTATCGTTGTACTATCATATCAACTAAAACGACCTAAGAAACACCGGCATCAGAGGGGAACAATTGGAGGACACGTTTCAAAATTAGCATATCGTTTTTAAGCAACTCAGAAAAAATAACCGGAGAATAATAAAGAATGAGAGGGAGAATACGCCCATTTGGGAATCGCCAGATTAGGGGTTGAAGTGTTTGGTAGGAATATAAACGACGAATTTAATAAAGACGTTTCCACAATTTAGTGAAAATGGTCTCAATATGGAGGAAAAAATGAAAGATTTGATGACAAGGTAACATCAAGGTACCGGACAGAAAAGGCCTCGCTGGGACTAATATCTAAGGATTCAGAACTGGGAGAGGGTCGCAGTCGGGAAACACACTGGACTGGTTTCTGATTATTTATTAGAAGACCATTTTTCAGCAACCCTGCTGAGACATGGTTCAGGCCATTGTTCAGAAATTGAAAATGTGACTGATTTTCAAGAGGATGACCAACAACCATATCGTCAGCATACTTAACACAGGAGACAGTCATTTGACGATCTCAAGTCATCTTCAAGCCAAGAGGAACTCCGTAGCGAACTTTTCTTATCTGTGAATGTTTTCGTCTAACTGGTAGACTTTGAGAGTCATTCTTCTACTTTGAGGTATGGAAACTTACTCATTACTTTACAACGACTCAATGTATTTTATAATTGATACTAAACTCTTCGGTCACAGACAACAGTGACTCCCACTGTCCGGGAGAGGACAGAATGATGACCTGTGTAGGAAAGTACAATAGGTGGGCTTACTCATAAAATGTTAACCGAAATTCTGAAATGCGTTTTCGTTTCGAAAAGATTAATTAAGTAGTGTTGTAGAACTAGTCAGCCTGCAACACAATAATTCAGTTACGCCAGGATGTCGACTTTCAAATGAACTTCCCTCCGGCTGCATGCAAAAACTACCCTCTGTAAAAAATGACTACTTAAGCAGCATGCAGTTTTCTCATTGATTTTCTATGCTTCTAAAAGTCTAATTAAATTTCATGGAAAACTTGCATGAAAACATTTATTCTTTGCTCATTCGGTAAAAACTTGCGTCGTATTTCAATTTTATACTCGAACGAAGGGTATTATTAAGTTTTAAAAAAGTTTCTAATTGTGAAACTTTTTAATGCCGTGAAATGGCCGTTCATAAAACGTCATGTCTCTGCATTAACCAATGTGGCTTTTAAAGTTAACAATATGGATCAAATCCAATGCTAAATTTTATGAACCCCTTATAGTCTACTATTAACACCGTAGAGAAATGTGTGGTTTACCATACGCGGAAAACACATGGCTTGCAGTTTTGAAACTCTGGATGCAAGTGTGACGGCAGAGTGGGTTCAAAATGATTCGGCTTAGTTCCCAATTAAATGGGAGCGCCATTGCAGCCTGGCCCTCGTTAGTTGGCTGCCTTCCAAACCACGGCGTTTAGCGCACCCTGTAGGTTTCCTTCTCCACTAGAAAACCCCTCGAGAAAAGTGCCGCCCATCCTGTTCCTATCGCTTGACTATAATGCGCGTGTACTTGGTGTTCAATTATCGGCAGGATGGTATTGCCGACAAAGAAAAGGGGGACTGGAATGGCCATTTCTGGCTTATTAGCCGTCGTCAGCCAGCCATACTCAAGCCCGAAGTGTGGAACACCCGAGCCTCGAACTCGCGACCTGTTAGTTTAGAAGTCCACGTCTCTACCCACTGGGCCACGAGTCCGTTGCCCTGTCGTCAGTTTCGATCGGACATTCCGTGCTGCACTTTGCGACTGCTTTGCGGAGTTTCCTTGGAAACGAACCAAGGGAGGGGCACTTTTTGCCTTGCAATCGGTATGGCTGAAGTTGAGAATTTGAGCGACCGTGCATAGTTCGCAAAGAAGAGTCTGGGTCGCAGACTTTAACCCGCTCAGACGCAATCAGCCTCTGCACATCAATCTAGCAACTGCCATTGTGCGTCTAGCATACTTTAAAGCTGCATCGACCTTTTTTTCCAGCAGACTACGTGCCAACGGTTCCATCAATTCAGCTACTTCGATTAACTACTGAAGACGTCTTTTATCGATTACTGCCGCCTCCTTGTCTTCACGACACTTGAAAAATGTGACCTCAGGGGCCAGCATGTTCTTTCACCCGAGCAACCTTGCAGTTCAAATGTCATAAGGCCGTTATCCATTATGGTGGGCTCACTTTTATCCTTAAATCTATCCCCTACCTCGTCTACAGTGCCTGGCAGCGTTCAAAATCTCACCGTCGAAAAGAAGTCAGATTCTTCGATAGAGGCCAAGTGGGAGGAGCCTTTAAAAGCACCCGGCACTGTCTCCAGCTACCGGTGCGTACTTTACTCTGGCAGTCTTCCAGCAGAGTGGCAAACTGTCAGGACAACCTCAGTCACCTTCAAAGAACTGGATAAGAGCAACAGCTACCGTGTGGGCGTCTCGGCCATCATTGACCCGATCAACCAGAACATTGGCGGTGGAATGGGTCCGGAGAGTATGAGCGATTTCGTACACTTGTCTGGAGAAGAAGCAGGTGCGTCCAACTAGTATTTTATTAATTTATGTCTCCTTTTTGTCTTTTGCCAGTCAAAAGTTCCGGCTTTATGGATCTCTTTAACATCTAAAACAACAGGAAGTTTACTTACGACAGCATCGAAAACTGCCCCACTTGAGGAATCGTCTTTCCGAAATAATTGGGAATTATGGGGGGTGCGCGCGCTCGCTTTCTAGTTTTATTCGACGCTGATGCTACTGTTCACTGGATTGGGCATTAACTAGGCCCTGAACAGTAGTTATTTCAGTAGCCGCAACCAACTAGAAGGCCGGGAGCACCGGAGTTCCAAATTTCTTTAAGTCCGATCTTCAATACTACTTGCACCTTAGGTTGCCTACCAGCTAGTCCATCCTTTTCACAATTCAGGACTCAGTTAATGTCTGAGTCTCCTTATTCGCCCTTCATTTATCCATGGGCACTTCCATACTCCAAGGTGAGGACCTGACTGTTTTAACTCCATTTAATAGCCTGTATTCTTTGTTTATGTATCTGTGTAAGTGTCGACGTACCGACGGTGACAGCAGTTCACAAGCCCTTGATGGAGAATGTACATTTGTGCTATTTCTTGAACTCGGCAGTGATGTCCCATTGGCCTTTTCTTTAGACCATAGTGTTCTCGAAGGTTTTTCTGCCTAAAATTAACTGAATTTGTTAAAAGTGAGGGCTATCACCCTCTTCTTCAGGACATCAGGCGGTTTGCATAGCGCCAGGAAGGAGACGGTTTACTCTTCTAGAGGGATGTTCACTGATCGCGTTCTGCCTCGGGGCTCGATCTGGGACCCTTCAGGCAGCCCCACCGCGGCTAGTAGTGTTAGCAGAATGACGTTGTAGGCGAAGACAAGGGGTACTGGAGTGACCATTTCCGGCTCATTAGCCGTCCTCAGCCAGTCATGCTCATCCTCGGGTCTTCTGCGCGACCCGTGAGACTCGAACCCTCAACTTGTTGGTTAGAAGTCCAAAGTCCCTATCCACTGAGCCACGGGCTTGATGTCCTGTCGATTGCGATCGGGCGATTGCTGGTCACCTACCCCTCCGGCATCTGCCGTTCAGTCCTCAACCTGTGTGGTGTTACAGAGCAGTCACTCGCCGGGTTCATGTCAGCGAGGTGACGAATAGCTGAGGTGAGGATCTGAATGTAACATAGTTGACTGAAGGACAGAGAAAAAACAATTTGAGTTAATTGACTGCGCAAGTTCCCAGCAGACACCTGTATTTCGATCGAAAACCGAAAATGAGCTTGACATCGAGATGCCGGAAGTACAGCCATGGGCAGTCATCCTCCCGGGCGGCAGGCTACTACAACGAGATTCGTGACCTCAAACTTGTTCACCTCCGGTGCACTTTGGCCAATCGAGCAGCGCCGAATTTCTTTCGGAATTACTAGACCTCGCCAATTACATGGCAATGTTCCTACTTGCAGTGCTAATTAAATTAATTAGAAATCCACAGGCCATAAATTGGCAGCCAGAACTTGGGTTCTACCAGATCGATGACTTGCTTACTAATTGACTGAATCTGCCTACGGACATGTTATCTCATATTCGACAATTAGGGTGGATAAAATGTAAATGGTCCTTGCTTTCTGGACCAGAGCTCCGGAACAAAACGAAAGCTAGTCCATAGTGATCTGAAGGGCGGGGTACTTGTCCAAACAATGATATGAACAGCCAACAGACGCTTCGAACGGTAGTCAGGATAGTACTTGTGCCAGTGCAGATTAAGATAAACGAAAGGCAGTGGGAGTTATTGTTGCTTTTTTATTTTCTCAGAAATTAACTGCAACCTTGGAGTATATTCTAGGGTCTATAGGAGCAAACGGAAATTTTATGCATGAATATCTGGGCTCTAAGTCCATAAGCCACAGTGGATAATCGCGTAATATAAGTTAATTGGCGACAGGCAGCTAGTAGTATATTTTAGAGTAGGAAGATACCATACTAGCAACACAGTTACTAGCTAAAAGCCCATACGCGCGTGTTTCGCCGATATTCTACCCCTGCATGGCACAGCTGCGAGGGGTTCGGCTCATCAATGGGTCCTCCAGCATTCCCAACGCTTTTTTTCGAAAATGAGGTATTCAACCTTCCTTGGCTTCTCGAGTTTGGCAAAACACCGAATCTGAAGCTGAAAGTAAAACGTGAGTCTCGATAAGAACGCCCGGAAAGGGAATGCGTAACAACAAAAGTAGGCCAGTAGAACGCTTAGTAAGGAAGAGGACGAAAATAGCACGACTGAACTGCTCGACTCCCCGTCCTCGAGTTCAGACCAACCAATCGTGTTAATTAACCTAAAATGTGCTGTTGGTTGTGCCACTGCTATTTAAATCGGACTGTACCCCCCAATAAATGTTGAAAGCGTACCTTATTCATACCGAGTTCCAGCCTTCGAAAAGTCCACTTCGCATGGAGTTCGAAAGCGTCCGCCTGCTCGTTTCCATATCGGACTCCACCAACCAATCACAGCGCGCGCAATTCCTGCACAAGTACATGTCGGACCTCTACGACGAATCATATGCTGGCCTTGAATGATTTGCATGTCTAATTAAGATCCTCATTTCGCTGCTATCAGAGCCAGCTAAGTAGAAGGCGGTAGTTGCATTCAACCTGCCGCCATTTCTTCTAAAATGGGTCCATAATCCTTTGAAGGTTTTCGGTACTTCCTTTCTTCGGTTTTTATTATTTCGAAGAGGACTACTGACCCCCCCCCTTTTTCGTGCATCAAACTTGCAGCCCCTGAGCTGGGCCCTCCAGTGGACCTCAATGCCACAGCCGATGGCCCCTTTGTTATCGCACTCTCGTGGAAGCCTCCAGCTCCGGCGAATGTTCCTGTGTACTTCTACAAGATCACCATCACTGAGGATGGCGGTTTGAGCCGAACAGAAGTGGCCTCGGGAAGTTCCACTTTCCGCCTTCTGGTGGGACTGAAGCCAAACACGGGGTACAACATTGTGATGAAGTCGATTGGTCTGCAAACTGAAAGTCCAGACACGCAACCTGTCAGTGCCAAAACGACCGTGGGCGGTAAGCTGCAGGATATGTCTGCGTTTCCTGTCTTCTACTTTCGCCTCCTTCTTCCTCTTCATTTCAAAACATCTATCGAACTGCCCTTCTCCGCCTCCCCCTCTCTATCCTTCTCTATCTACTCCTCTATTATTGTCTACATACCTAACTTACTTTTCTGCATTGAACTGCACCCATCCTCCTTGGTTTAACCGCCCCTTGTCGTCTTGTTCTTTCTTCTTATTTTAATTTCCTCAGAAATTAACTACGAACATGGAATAGGTCACTGTATTCGGGGTCTATAGGCTCAGACCGATAATTTTATGTATGAATATTTTGGCCAAAGTCCATCAACCACAGCGGGTAACCGCGTAATATTCACTAACTGCCGACAGGCAGCTAGTAGTATACTTTAGGGTAAGGTGATACCATACTAACAGCACAGTACTAGCTAAAAGCCCATACACGCGTGTTTCGGCGATATTCTGTCGTTGCATAGCGCAGCTGCGAGGGGTTGAGCTCGTCAACGGATCCGCCAGCATTCCCCGTCTGTTTTCTGGTAGATACTCCAATTTAGAAATCGTAGCCTTTTAATTTATTCAGAAATTAACTACCACATTGGAGTAGATCAGTTTATTCAAGCTCTATAGGCGAGAATCTTATGTACTAATTTTTGGACCGAAGTCCATCAGCCACGTCTGTTAACCGCGTAATATTCACTAGCTGCCGACAGGCAGCTAGTAATGTACTTTAGGGTAAGGGGATTCCATACCTTTGAACTCCGGTCGGTTCCACCGAAAAAAAAAACAGTTAAGTCTGCAAACCGAGACTCAGGTCACGGGCTTTCTCGTTTTGGTTTTCTCCTTCCTCTTCTTCCTCTCCATCTATGGTCACTATTCACATATTTACGCCCTACTCCCTCGTTGCTGCTCTCCATCTTTCACCTTCCATAAATTCTTTCCTTTCCTGCCCATTCTTGTCATCCGTGCCTCTCCCTTCGCCCGTTTTGCTCCTTCATCAGACTCCTCATCATCGTCATCAGACGCCTCCACCGCCTGACTCCGTTCTGCACCTCAGATTCTGTGGTATCTTGCCCTCGTCCAACTTCACCTCTCTTCACGCGACCGTTCTTACACCTCCTTCACTACTCTTCTCCTACGCGCCCCTCTCCCCACACTTCTCCTCCCCCCTCCCTGCCTCACTCGGTTTTCCTTTTCCCCCTCTGCTCCCATCTTCACTAAAGTGCTTTTCTAGCCATGTTTGTCGGCTTTGTTGCCTTCCTTCTACGCATCCACTGTCCCCCCCTTGAATCGCATGTGCTCTCGTTCCATCCATGCTCATGTCATTCCTCTTTTGGCTCTTTTGTCCATTCCCCTTTTATCTCTTTTCCCTCCCTCCTTCTCCTCACTCCTCATTTACAGTGAGTGTCCGATCTCATGAAATGTTGACCAAAATTCTGAAATGCGTTTTCGATTAGGAAGGATTACTTAGGTGGGGTTGTAATATTGATTGTCCGACGACATAATCCTAGGGTATTTCGGATTTGGCAAGATGTCAGCTTTTGAATGCACTTCTTTTCAATCTCCTGTACAAACGATACTCGGTAAAAAATGAATACTTAAGTAGCATGCATTTTTCACACTGATTTTCGATGGTCCAACAAATCCAAATATATGTTGTAAAAAACATAAACAAAGACATTCTTTCTTTCACTCGTTTGACAGATAATCACGTCAACTTCATATTTTACTCTCAAAGAAAGAGTACAATTAGATTTTAAAACACTTTTCTAATTCGCGAATAATTTGGAGCCCGATCTGCCCGCGCCTAACGATTTCAGTCTTCAAGGTGCATGCGTTCCGCGTAAGGAAAGTCATGCATTTTCCTATACCTTTAAAAGATGTCATACTGAGTCCATAGAATTTTGCAGTGAATGCAGACTATGTTATACATTTCATGAGAAGCAATGCTAAACGGACAGGTACGATGCTTTATGCATGAAAATTGCACGGTCTTAAAAAATCTCATAATTTGAAACTTTTTAAAACCTAATTGTACTATTTTTTCGAGTGTGTAAAACATGAAGTTGACGTGATTCTCTATCAAACGAGTGAAAAAAAAGAATATCATTGTTCATGTTTTTATAAAATATATTTTGACTTGTAGGATCATCGGAAATCAGTGTGAAAAACGCATGCTGCCTAAATAGTCATTTTTACGGAGTACGGTTTCTACGGGAGATTGAAAATAAGTGCATTCAAAAGCCGACATCTTGCCAAATCCGAAACACCATAGGATTATGCCGCGGGATAATCAAAATTACAACCCCACCTAAGTAATCCTTCCTAATCGAAAACGCATTTCAGAATTTTGGTCAACATTTCATGAGATCGGTCACTCACTGTATGTCTTCTCCCTCATTTTTCCTTTCTTCCGTTTCTGCACCGCGTCCGGTGTCATCGCGTTTGTCGCCTCTCAGTGTTTTTCGGACACGAAGTCAAGTCTCGGGAACATGAATTATAGAGGTAGACCCGAACTTTCAATGAAAAATTGAGTCGAAGACGTAGTACTACTTGCTTGTCGAGTGAACATTACGTGGTTATTCTACAGTAGTTTATTTTCTTCGACTCAATTTTTTATTGAAAGTTCAGGTCTGACCCTATAAAATCATGTCTCGGGGACATAATTCAACTTCCTGCAATAAGGAATTTCAGAAATTATTCGCACAAGAGAGTTCGGGGGTTTCCGAGTTTGACTGTAGACGGTAGGGCTTGGTGTTTTATTCACATATCTCCTATTACATCGCCGTCCAATTGTGTTGTTATTAACATCAGGGAAGTTAAGTGTCAGTTTACGGACCCGTCGCATTACTTGCGGTCCACTATTCTCCGAATATTCGTTGTCCACCCTATAACAGCGGACTGCAAGAAGACATTTTTAAAAAATATCCAAACAGGTGCTTTATTGATTTGCCTAGTTTCTTACCGGGGGGGTTTCTTGGAAAGAAATTTTACTCAGTGAGCAACGGTCAAAATAGCACCTAGTTTAAAATATGTATTGACCATATGAGCGTATTGTTGACCTATTTAATTTTATCTCATATTTTTTAACTGAAAAGTCACTTTTCATCGGCCAATGTTACTTGTGTACGACTCCGAATATTTCTGACCTCAGTCGTCACGATTTTTCAGTCAGCACAAAATTGCACACTTTTTCCGATCAATTTTGTTCAATCTTTTTGCTTGTCGAGGTTGAGAAACAACAGTCAGTCATTTGAGTTCATCATCGGAAATAAGTAGCGGTCAATAAGAAAGGCAGGTTCTGTTACAAAACAACCAGTCGACTTCCCTATTCGCCACTGCGCGCGGATTTACCATGCAAACACGTGTTTCGGCGACGAGGCTCATCAGTGGGTCACCAGGCATTCAATTTCCAATGTCTAACTTTGTCCAGTGATAACCATTTCTTCCTTAAAGTTGGTAAATGGCCCTTCTGGAATGTGTCCCACCTCACTACCTCCTTTACATGCTTGTCTTTTTCTGCTGCACAAAATCTCGCAGTCATCAATATTACTTAATTGAGGCCTATGCCTGTTAAATGCATGTTTCGTGTTTTTGTTACTCCAACGTCCACAGTGCCCTCCGCTCCCCTGAGAGTTACAGCGAAAGTGGTTAATTCCACTGAGGCTCAAGTTTCTTGGAGAGAGCCTGCTTCAACGGGGTCCGGCGTGACCGGATACAATGTCACCGTGCGACGGGGTGGAACGGAACTCGACTACCAGGAGGTAGACAACTCGACCACCTGCGTCTTCTCCGCCCTGCCCGAGTTCGCCGAGCTCGTCTTTGTTGTCGCTGCGAAATCGGACATCGGAATCGGAGAGTCTGCTCTCAGCAACCCCATCTACACTCAAGCAAAAGGTAAGTAGTCGGTGAGGCCGAGCGGACGAATCCTGCTCCTCCTCCACCTCGTCATGTGGATCATCAACAGTACCATAAACCTCATCGTTGACGGGCGTTACAAAGACTTTAGTGATTTAAACGTGTTTTCTGGTTAAGTTTGTAAATACAGTCTGCGACGTCCACAGTAATCCTGAGAAATCAATACCGGACCGGCGACTATTCCTCCAACTTTGTGGCAAAACTCAAGCTGCCGATCAAACTATGTCATCAGGTGAGCGCTTTAAACGATCACTCAGGCCCACTCGCGATCTCGACAAAGGAAAGTTTGGGACATGCAATGCATCGCGGATATTGTGAGGTCCTCTTTGACCTTATTTCAGTCTGATACATGCGGTTAGAATCAGTTCTTTTGTGCACGTGCAGGTGGGTCGACCTTACACAAGCCTGGTGCATGTTACGGAAATCGGGTCGTGTGGGGAACGCGTAGATGGACTCTAAGCATGTTTTCTTGTTAAGTTTGTGAATAAAGTCTGCGGCGTCCACTGCAATCCGGAGAAATCAATACCGGACCCGGGACTGTTCTTCCAACTTGGTGGCGAAACATAAATTGCCGATCAAACTGTGTCATCAGGTGAGCCCTTTAAACGACCACTCAGATCCACTCGGGATCTCAAGGGCTGAAGCAGCGCTCTGCTTAAGTGCAAAGCGAGCTGGTCCTTTCGTCTGCAATTAGTAGTCCTTCCTATCGAAGGTCATTTCCGGTTCATGCGCACGCATGGTTGGGATACCGGGCTGGAGTACATTTTCGGCCGTTGGGTAGGTGGTGGTTCATCAGCGCTCGATTTCTTTTCGAGAAATCATTGGATCAGTGTGCGCCAATTGCTGTACGAATAAATGAAGTGAGGCTTACACTGAGGAATCCAACCCTGCGCCCTCCTCACTGTACTAAATCCGGCGTTCTTACATCCCTTACGGCGCTTTCGGAGGATTGCCAATTGACGGGATAACTTCGTCCTCTTAAGAGTATTTTCGAGTGAATGAAGGATCGGGAGTCAGGCTGCAATGGCTACTTCTTAGTGTAGCATGAGGTCCTCGTTGACCTTATTGTAGCCTCGCACATGCAGTGAGAACCATTTTTTTGCGGCATGGGTTAGATGGTAGTTGGTAGCCCTCCCGGTACCGAAAACTCCCAGCCACCTGACTTACGGGATCGGTGGTAATAGGGGCTATACGGGTGGGGCAAATGAGTGGAGGCGTGAATGGCGCTTGTAGGGAATGCCTGGAATTGACGATCCTGATAAAGTGGAAACCTAATTTAATTAAGGTGAAAAATGCGAGGAAGGTGAACACTTCGGGTCTGACTGACGTATGAGACGCCTTGCTGTTGTAGTCTGAACCCAAGAGGTAGTAAGTGCGCGATGTGGTAGGTGAAGTGCGTCCAGTTCAAACCCAGCAATGTCGAAGCGCCCGGGGGGTGTCCTAGTGCCTTAAACTGGAAGTGCAGGAAAGGATCGCTAACTGGTCATGGCGGTGTTTACAAGGCGTCACAGTTTTCAGCCAAACCCCTGCGACCAAATACAACCGGGCTGTTCGTAAAGGCGGGGGTGGAGGGCAACACTCTGTCAATACGACTGATGCAGTGGATGGAGTATCGGTTGACACCCTAACTGAGCGTCGGTTGTCCTTTCGTACACGATCGCACCGGACTCTACTGGAGGTCTGGAGTAAAAAGACCCAAGGCTGCAGGCAAACCGACGAAACGGAGACCCGCGCCAATCCGCCTAGGGTAGTACCTATGCAATTAATCTGATGCAGGTAATACTGTGCGCACATGCAACTAGAAGCATAATGGGAAGCATGATGAATCATAATCCGTTAAGGATAAATCTTTCGCCTTTACTAAAGATTTCCGTGTGGGGGTGCAATACAATGAGTCTATATAGACAGTCTTGCAGCGCTTCGTTCTCGAGTCGGTTAAAGTGAAGAAGAAAGTCATCCTGACAGGGCCTCTGTCCGTGCACACCCCAGACATAATGAGAACGTTATCACATATACCGAAATCGAGCCAGTAGGTACAATTGTAGAATCAGTGGGCAGGGCTACCAACTACCATCCCGCCGCGGCATGTGCAGATGGGTCGACCTTGCACAAGCCTGGTGCGTGTAACAGAGATTGGGTCGTGTGTGGCGCGCGTAGATGGGCTGTGTAGCTTTGCCAACTTCTGGTCTTCTCGGTATTGTCTTGCCACCGGAGCTAGGTGGGTGAGAGATAGGCGAGAGTGCGGAAGATGTTGCGCAAGTTTGCCTCACCAAAAATTAATCCACGAGTAAGTTAACCGGCTCTACGATCACTCCCCGGAGGGGCAGACGGTGGACCCCGATTTCGAGGGGCGAACTGTCATGGATGAAAGGCCGATTTGCAGCGTCGGTGGGTGTCAAGTGTCCGTTGGTCTCTAATCCCGGGTGTCGGCCGGAGCTACGATTGTCTGAATAAAGACAGAAGATACCGCAAACACAGTGTCTGTTCCTTCGTCGGATCCCGTTCGCGCTGATTTGAACTCGAACGTCCTCAACTGCATTTTGTAGATGTGCTTCCGCCTTCTTATCTGAGCCGGATATTACAAGTAGTTCTTGTGTGAACAAATAAACCGAGCTATGAAGGAGTGTCAGCAAGGGGTGGTCGTTTCCGACATACTTGCGTCAGTAGACGGCAGCACCTCATTTGCGTGCAGACCTAAGCCCTAGTCAGTTGGTCATCGAGCATTCGAGACGAGCACACTACCAGGCTGTGGGGGTACCTATCCACATGTCCGAAATCCAACTCCAATGCCAACTATAACTCCGAAACTTACCCTTTTACCCCTAGTTCTGATAGTAAATCCAACCCAAACCCTAAACCCTCCTATGATCTAACCCAAGGGAGTAGTTATCAGCGCGCCCTACCGCATTATTATTGTTCCACTACGGTTCAGGGAGAACCAAAAGGTAGTTTTTTAGGGCTCTAGTTTGCGTCTGAAGGCTACAGGTAATTGTCCAAACAGGAACGCCTACCTGACGACAGCAGCCCCAAACCATTCATATCCACCGTAAATTCTGCTTGTGGCTGTGCAGTGGCGACTGTCTGGCATTTGGTCATCGTGGAACAGTTTTCCTGGCTGTCGGTGATCGCCCATGAGTCGGTGTGCACCCATTCCTGAGTGAATAAATGCCCGACCCGCAGCGACAGAGAGCGGCAGATGGTGAGGCGCTGATGAACTTCGGTCGAACTAAGTGCTTATGACCCATCTGTTAGACTCTGCTGGCGGACCAGGTGCTCCGGGTGCGTCTGTGCGCATGTTTCGGCTTCAGGTGCCACCTGGTGGCCGGGATTATGATTTTCCTGATGAGGGCAAACAAACTCGAAACAATTCCCTCTCAATCTACCTCCCAGACTCTGTCACCTCCCCTCTGATACATATGTATATGTATACATATAGTGGGTTGCAGAATAAATGAACTGTTTGTGGTCCCAAAGGCCACCTCCTACGTCACTTGCCGGGTCGTCTTCTTAAGCGTTCTGGTAGATTCGGCACCAGGATTACGTCGTAACTACGGTATTTCTCATCCATATGCCAGTCTCTCATCCTTTCTGTGGCTGTCGAGTCGTCCCTAGACTCTGGACTCCAATATGCCTGAAAAGGTAGGCATGTCCAGACAGTACAGGGTTTAAAGCCATCAGACGGACGTGCATTCCCTGTCATGTTCGTTGACGGACGTCTGCGGCGGCCCACCGGTTCCTCTTCAGCCTGGTTCGATTTGGGCAAATGTCACATTGATCTCTTTGGTTCGTGCGCCTTAAATCACATTTGCATCCTGCTTGAAAATCACTTTTTTGTCGGCTTTCAGTAGCCCGACTGTCAATTCATTTTATGTGAGCGAGTGAGTGGAATTCAAGCAATCACTGGCGCGACGCATCCGCATGATCAGAGATATCGCAGCTGCAGTGATGGCAATCAGATCGACCTATTTATTCTGCCCGTAGCCGAGCCAATCATTCTTTCTCTTTTTTAGCTGAAGCCCCCACCGTTGCGAAGATTGTTCACTCTGCCCACCAGTTCCTCAAAACCGGTAGGCCCTTTGGAGTCAAGGGTGAGAATATACTTTTTCAATGTTTGCCTCATTAGATGGCGTGCGACCAACACACAGTTGTAAACTTTCATTTCTCAAAGGAACCTCCGTCTAGTTGAACTTCTCGGAGTGGTTCACAAGCAATAGATTTGAGGCTCAGCCTTTTCAAAAACCTCAATAAAAATGAACATATCTATGCGTTCTGAACAAGTGACGCACAGTCAGAGGACCTGCGTTTAATTCCATCAATCAGCTAAGGCCTTTCTGGGAAAGATTACCATAAAGGGTCCACATTCACGGGGCCAGTTATGCAGGTTGGCAGCCAAACATACTCTTAAGGTGTTTTGAAGTTTTTTGAGAGGGCTCGGTGTGTTGCAGGATATAAATTTATGAGCATATTTCAGCCGATACGGCCATCAAGCAAGCGTCTTTAGTAGGAAATGGTGAGAGGCCAGTATGAGGGCTTCGTTCTGCACGATGTCCAGGAACTGTTGGCCCGGCATTGCAGATCAGGGAGACTGGCTAAAAGTGCTCGCCTGGATCGTTGCTGGTAAGTCACTAGTAGCCATCTATTATTCATTGGCGAGGACATCTGTGCGACGGGTGGGCACACGATCCATCCCAGCGCACAGTGACATCCGATGAGATCTGTCTTGAGTCGACGCGAAATGCGGTAATCCCATGCCCAGCTTCGAACCGACCGAATGCGTCCTGTACGTTAATTTTAGTTAATCTCGTAGACATTGTCTAGGTCTCTTACTTGGAGTTAGGCGGAAAGTATCCTATTGTAATAGCTGTAAATGATAGAAATTGGGCAGCTTTATAAGAAAAAGGCTAATGTACTTTCCATCTTCTGTGTGTTTTGTCGTCCCGGCCGCATTGTTACTGTTTTCGGTCTCAAACTTCTTAAATAGATGGTACTTTATCTCCCGAGTGGAGTTGTGAAAGTAGTATTTAAGTGATCTGTCTCACATTACTCCAGTTTGCAAGAGCGGTTAATGGATGTAACCACAACCGCGCTGGACACGTGGAGCCTTTTGCAGGGTTCGGCAACAGATGGTGCAGTTTCAAATGCATCTGCAAAGTAGGCCAATACGTCTCATTTGGAATCTTTTAGTCTTTTCTTGATATAACGAACCACGGACTCATTCGCGTCGTCATGGCGTCCTGCACCGACGCATTTTTTTTCCTTTCCTCCGACGATCGTTAGCATCTCCCGTTGGCGTTTGAGCGGGTAGTTTTGGAGGCATAACGAAGGGTTTGACGTTGCACAA